TAATCGATGTTATAATATGGTCTTATGTGATTCTGAAAAAGCGATGATGTTTTTATTTTTGAATAAAATATAAATTTGTGTAATTTTTTAATTTTAATTTAATTTAAGTTCAATAACGAAGTAATTTATATTTGGTTTAGTAATATAATTTTTTTATAAAGATAATAGTTAATTATTTTGTTAGAACTCAATAATTATCCTAATTATATTTTAGATTTTTTATATTTTAAAATGAGATGTTTATCCTCTATTTGATTATGATTATTTGCAGTTAGTTAGGTGAATTCAAACATGAAGTTTTAATAAGTTGTATTTACGCATAATTTACTAGTAATCTTGAATTTTAAATAATATACATCAATATACAATACTTCATGTATAAAAAATAGTTTTTAAAAGTTTTTGTCAAATGTTTTATAATATAGTATAGATAATAAATCCAAAAATTTTAAAAATTTATCTTTAAAGAAAATTAAAAATTATAAGTATTCGTTGCATATGTTTTATTAATTTCAAGGTTCAAGAAGAAACCCAAATTATACATCCCATTAAAAATAAAGTATAATTCAAAAAATTAATAATTTAATATTTTAAATTTAATAAAAAAGATGCATATTATTTTAGTATTAGTGCTTGAATTAATTTTTTGTATTAAAATAATGATGAAATATTCTGTTATAACTCAATGAATTGCTTGCATTTAAACGTATAAGCTAGTTTCTGTTGTTGTTTTGCTTGGTTTTAGCATTCCGAGAAAAAAGATTCCTCATGTGTAACGTTTCACTGATCTGTCGTATCAGTAGAGATGTTAATAATCCATATGTAAATTTAACGGTTTTAAGGTTTGTTAGTATGCATGTGGGAACTGATTGCGGAACAATCCAGCAAGATTCATCCAGCTTTTGTACAAACACAAACAAGATACAGAACTCGATATTATATGTCGAAAGAAAGATTAGAATAAAACATGTAGATGCTTTACAAACAACCCAAATAACTCTCTTCAACGCATAAATGTTCCCAACTCTGAAGAGCTCTCGAGAATTTGAAATGGCCATCCAAAACGGAAACAGACCCTTCAAATCCAAGTGCTTCAAATTCGGAAATTTGGGTAGAGATGAACCGGATGGTGCCTTCGACAAAACACGAAATTATAGTTGAATGCATGATCATGAATAGAAGAATCATTCAAAGTAAAACTAAATGACCTTGACTCATAACTGTTACCATGCTGTATTTATATCCTATCTGACCTTGAGTTTAATTCCAGACATCCACAATAATTGTGACCACCAAATTTATCATAGCTAATGTCTTACCGTTACAATTTGCATGGATTAGTCTGGACATAACCTGGGACACCCTTCCAAAAAAAAAATATAGGTTCAGATTCTGAACCAACCCAACCCACTATACCATTGAGTAACTCGGGGTTGTTCTTAGGTTTCACGAAATCAGTATTGAGATAATCCAAGAATCACTCTCATTCTTAGGCAGAAAACTCGAGTATATATATATATATATATATATATATATATATATATATATATATATAGAGAGAGAGAGAGAGGGGGGGGGGGACGTTTCAAATGTAACCTATCATATTTGTACAAACAATGCAACCCAATCAATTGAGATATTTATGGAAGTGATGAGAGTTCATTTATTATGATTTGAATATTTATGAAAGATGATTAAGGTTCATTAATTATGATCAATGCTTTATATTAGAAAACAATCAAAACTTTAATGAAATCACATATTCATCAAATTAAATGGACGGTTGAGATTAAGTTGTATTGGTTGTACAAATGTAAAAGGTTGTATAATAACTCACCTATATACATGAACAAAGATGGAGGGTGATTATCATCAAAGTAAAGGGTTGTATACTAACTCACCTATATACAAATGTAAAGGGTTGTATAATAACTCACCTATATACATGAACAAATGTAAAAGGTTGTATTGGTTACATTGGATGTACAAATGTAAAGGGTGATTATCATCAAAGTCAAGGTTGTGAACCAATGTCCAATTGTATCACCATCTTTTCAACAAAATGCTAGTTCGCACCGAGAGTTTTGTAGGCATTTGAGAGAGTTTATGTGAAACAACCTCTTCAGGCAAGCTGCTAAGCCTATCTACATTCTCATTTGCGGAACTCATTTTTTTTGTCTTGTCACTTCCTAATCATTTAAACAAACAAATTTCAGAATCATCTCAAGAACGATCCAAATATTTCTTATAAAGTTTTTGTGATCGTTTTCACTTAAAAATATGCAAAACTTGATTTCAGTTTCATGGAAAAAGCATGAAAGTAAGCAACGTATGCAACTATATCATTGTAATTAGTCTGCAATGCATATACCCAGACAAAAAGAAGCACCTAGAAGTCAATTATCATATACAGAATTGACGCACAAAAAGATTGAGAAAAGAGATTATAATGACTCCTGCTAGCTAATGGCATACAGTACAGAAGTGACAGATAAAGAAGATGAGAAAATAATTATACATTTACTGTGATATTAATGTAACAGATCGGAATTGTGTGCAAACAGCAACTGTAACTTATGGGGTGATGGTATCAGATGAAACTAAATACAACTCACATAAGAGGATGGACAACCAAAAAGATGTCCAGAATTAAGTAAAAGACATGATTTTTAATACCTAATTGAAAACCTTAGATCTCTGAACACACCTAGAGGCTCCTTGAGGCAGGGGGCACTGCATTTTTGTTTGCTTGATTTTATCAGCCATTCAATTGTACTTGGGTTTGAACTATATGGCTAACCTGTTGCTGAGATTGTCCAATCTGTTGCTGATGCTGCTGCAGTGGTGGCAGAAGCACAGATTGAAAAGCAGAACCCGTTGTGGCAGGTCTGATGAGTTGATTAACACCATTCACATCTTGTGGAAGTTGAGATTTTTCTGATTGCTGAGGGTGGTTGGCACTCCGGTTCTGGAAAAACCTATTAGAATTTCCATAGTTGTAGGAAGTTAAATGCTGAATATTTCGGAGTACTTCTTCCACCGGAGGAGGAGGTCCCGGTAGTTTTGCATGTCTATACCGACAATCAGGACCATTTGGACAAAACCCGAACTTGTACCTGCAGTTTCATACCCTGTGTCACAAATACTCCCAATTGACGATGTATTAAGATACAGCTTACCCAAACATACAAAGTGCTAAAGACAGATTGTGATTCCAATGCAATGAGTCTACTTGGATTATCTTATCAGGTGCGCACCAAATGAACCTCATAGATTAATTGTTAATCCATGGTTTAATGAAAATGACAGATCCCATAAGCTTACTTGATCATGGAAAACCACATAACCCATTGCCAACACCAATTATAATAAGCCTAACATACTAATCATTCATTCATTGGAGAAGAAGTTGATTAGCATCTTACTGTTTTTGAGTGGAAGTTAAGCTACCATTTGTTAGGACTTAGGAGAGAAGCTGTAAAATCAAGGTGGACAAGGGTACTCATCATATAACTCTTAATTAGGGGCAGAAAAAAAGAACACAAACACTCAAAACTCAACCAAAAACATGAAGTATTGAATGAGAAAAAATAAATATCAAAGAAATGGAAGAGAATTACATGTTACACTCCTTGATGTCTTCGTTGGTGTGCTTATAAACGCAGTCCTGCTCTCGGCACTCTCCGTACAAGCGAAAGAATCTACATATAGGCATTCGTGATTTATCATACTGATGAAGAAACCCGCACGCCTCACCTTTCATACAGAGCCCTCGGAGCCAGTGGCGGCACACGGTTTGACGGTAGCTCCTCCTTCCAGAGAAGCTGGTGGAAGCGGCAGCGGCAGAAGCAGCAGGGTCGACGGAAAACGAGTTGAGGTTGAGTGGCGAAGCCGATGGTGCCTTATTGTTATTACTGTTAAGATCGTCGGATTGGCGGATTACTGGTACGGACGCGGTAGGTTGCCTTGTTCCTGTTTCCAAACCCCCTTCGAAGTCGAAGCTTAGACCTCCCTCCCCATCCTCCATAATTAATCGAACTACAAAACTCTATCGACGGTGATCCAAGAGAGAAATTGGGAGTTGGCACGAAGAAAGGATTTGTAACACCTGGACGCCGGAGCAAAACGGAAGACCGACGGCGAAAGTTTCTGACGCCGGGGCACAGGATTCAACGGAATGGATTTTAGATTTTTAGGTGTGCGAAAATGAGCAAATGACCCTTTAAAACTCTTCAGGCTTTTTATTTTCAGTTTCAAATTGTGTTTTAATTAAAATTATAAATAATAAATTACACAAAAATGTGTATTAGAATTATTATTTTCTTGAAGTATATAATATTTTTATATGGCAAATAGAACAAATAAACTCACACACTCTCTTCACCTTTGGTGAAGTTTGAACCATTGACCTCCTAGAAAGCCAAATACTCACGTACCGCTAGTCCAAAGGCCCTTTGGTGGTTTATATGAATTATTGGGTTTGTAAAAAAGAAGAGATGTGTATAGAAGACAACATGTAACATCATTTGTACCGGTTTGAGTACCTCGTGATTGTTGGACGTTTTCCAATGAATTGAATTAGTCGAGATGCGTACAAACTGGCTTGAACGCTAGAATCGAGAATTCTATGGATCTCACCGAACCAACCGTTATTATATTATCCTCGATTCACAACTGAAATCGCTGCGTGACATGTTGTCTAAGTTACACAACATGTCGAAGATGTTCGTTCGTACCGGATGGGAAGTATCTCCAGCTATAAATACATGTTTCCGTCCATCGACCTCGATCCAACTACATCCGGCCGGCTTTTTCAGATCCTTCGTCTTCATTAACCTCCGTATCTCCAACACTTCTTCCCATTTCGCTTTAGCAGCGTATATATTCGACATCACGACAAAGTTTCCCATGTTATCATCCTTGATATTCAAAAGACGATCAGCGACAACGCATCCCATTTCCACCGCATCGTAATTCTTACAAGCACCCAACAACGCTCCCCATATGTTGGCAGTCGGTTCAACGGGCATACTGGTGATGAAACTATATGCATCGGTGATACGACCATTTCGTGCAAGAAGATCCACCACACAAGTGTATTGTTCCATGGTCGGTTTGATCCTATGTACCTCGTTTATAGAACGAAAAACTTCCAAACCTTCGTCTACAAGCCCTGCATGACTACAAGCAGATAGGACTGCGGTGATTATAACATGATCGGGTTTTCCACCAAGTTCGAGCATTTGATAGTAAATCCCTAGAGCTTCTTCTCCCATTCCATGCATCGCGTAACCTCCCACCATAGACGTAAACGTAACCAGATCTTTATGAATGGTTGACGTGAAAAGCTTACACGCAGAGTTTATATTCCCGCATTTCGAATAAGCATCCAACAACGCTCCCTTAAGTTGGACGTCTTGAAAACAAGCTCTGATCACATAGCCATGGCACTGGTTCAGCATCTGAACCGATGCCATTTGAGTAGCAACGGGAAGGATGCTCATTATGGTCATAGTATCGGGTTTCATTTCATGATTCTGCAACTCATGAAACAGATTGAGAGCTTCATCAGGGTGATCATTTTCAGCGTAAGCTCGAACCATCAAATTCCAAGTGGTTAGATCTCTTTCGATCATGTTCTTGAATATAACGTTGGCATTATCATGCGAACCGCTATTGACATATCCCGATATCAGAGAATTGCAGGTCACAACATTCATTTTTCCGGATAAGCTCTCGAAGATCTTTAACGCATACTCCATTTTCTCACATCGAGCATAAGCATCAATCAACGCATTACCAAGAGTCGGTTCTTTATTTACGAGCAACGTAAGGGACCTAAGTGAAAAGGCATGAGCTTGTTTAACCATACCTGATTGACGAGCATTAGCCCCAAGTTGAAGTGCGGTTATAATAGTAACGGAGTCGGGTTCTACGCCTTCTCTGAACATGCAACGTAGCTGCTGAAGGAACTCGTTAACAAGCTGACCGTCGGCAAGCGCATCAAGTATCGAGTTCCATGATATCAAATCTTTCTTATGAACCAACGAGAATGACCGAAATGCAGCTATTGGATCATCACATTTCGAGTAAAAGTTTACTAAGGAATTTCCAACGGATGTAACATCACGTAAGCTAGAACGACGGATAATATAGCCATGAATTTGCTTCCCCGCCTGCAAATTCTGTAAGTTTGCACAAGTAGAGAGAACGGTTAGGAAAGTGATCGAGTCGGGTTCTGCTAAATTCAAAGAATTGAACTTTTTAAAGAACTCCAATCCTTTCAACCACTCACCATTTGAGGTGTAACCTGCAATCATAGAATTCCAAGAAACCAAATCTTTTGTATGCATTCTTTTGAACAATGATTCTGCTTCCTGCATTCGTCCGATCTTCGAGTAGAAACCCACGAGAGAATTCGCAACAGAAACATCGGCAACCAGTTCTTCCCGGTGCAGTGCGTAGCCGTGGATCTCTTTCCCAAACCGGTAGGCAAGACTGCTATCGAGCAAAGCACAAACGGGCAGGATATTTGCGATTGTAGCATAATTCGGCCACGTTCTTTCTGCTATCATCCGTCTAAACATTGCAAACGCTCCAAAAACCAATCCGTTTTCCACCAACCCTGCAACCATTGCATTCCAGGACACAACATCTCTTTCAGACATTTCATCAAACACCTTATATGCATCACTTGAAACATACCCAAACTTCATATACATCGAAACAAGCGCATTTCCCACGAGGGTTTGCGACTCTAATCCTAACTTTATCACATAAGAATGGACACTCTTTCCTAAGTTCAAACCGTTCAACCGTACACAAACAGGAAGAACAATTGCAGCAGTAACTGAACTGGCCTTAACATGCTGCCCCAAATTCATAGCATTGAACAACTTCATCACCTCTGCATCATGAACCCGAGTGCCCGCTAAACCAGACAACATAATGTTCCAGGTGACAGCATCAGGATGACTTATCTGATCAAAAATAAGATGGCAATCATTAAGAGCTTTACATTTTCCATACATGTTAAGGAGTGCTTTGGAGACCAGCAGACAAGAGCGTAAACCGAGTTTGATTACACTGCTGTGAAGACATTTACCCAACTTGATGTTGGAATTGGCAGCACAAGACTTAAGTATGCTTGCAAAGATTTGGTAATCAGGTTTTGAACACGATTCATTCATGGTGAAATCTTGAACTCCTGCACTACGACTAAACCCAACTAAACCTGGAGTTTACCATTTTCTTAAGCTTAAAATTTCAGTTTTTCTTTTACTTTTTGTTGCGAACAATGGAGTGTTCATGAATTGGTTGAACGGGTTGAAGATGAACAACCCAATTTAATGGTTGCGGCTTGAAAAATCTTAATCCAATCCAACCCAAACCAAAGTGCAACCCAATCTTTATCGGTTGGTCGGGTTGATAATTTAGTATATTAAAATATTATCCTAACATTAAATATGTTATTTCTCTACTCATAATTTCTTTTTCATCATCAACTATTTGATACAACTTATCCATATTTCTTACGTATATTGCATTCAGTTTATTTTCTCAATTTACATATATATGTTCACAGTTACTCAACATATATACGAATGAGTTATATAGATATGTGAATAGATTGAAATATGTGTATATAAAAAACATACATGATAGTGTAATTGTCTAATGTATATATTAATAGAAATTCAACTATTATATTAAATCCAAAAAATAAAAGAATATCGGGTTCGTCGGGTTGAGTTGACTTCAAATAATAGTAACTCAATATCAACTCAATTCTATGTTTGGTAAAATCACATATTTGACCAAAGATTTCTCCTACGTCATCTCTTACTTGACTGTCAATCGATTTAGGTGTGGTTGGACCACTAGAGTCTCCATGGTGGCCGGAGATGTTGCACGTCAGGGGGCGGTGAAGGCGTAGATTTTGATTATAGAGGGTGTTGGGAACGGAGGCAGTAGGTTTTTTCTCCCACTGTACATCTTCTTCCTCTTTGGATATAGGTTTGTTCTGAATCAGGGTTTTTAGATCATAGAAGATGACAAGAAGGAGAAGATTTTCATATCTAGTCTGGTTTTGGATTATTTCGAATCTGGGATTTGGTTCAAACTCATCGGTGACTGTGGTCTTCGACTTTGGTAATCTGAAATATTCACAGAGATCGGGAAAGGAACGAGAACAAAATGGGGAAAGGGTTTGCGAGTGCAGAGCATTCTCAAGTCGTCAGAGGATTTTCAGATAGTTGAAAAGAACAAGGTGAGGTTTAAAGAGGATTTGCAGGGTGGGTGCCAGAAGTTTTGCAGGCGAGGGGCACTGGAAAAAAAAACGCCTGATCTATTTAACAGAAGTTAGTTTAACCAAAAGTGAAACAAAACGGCAACCACAATAATCAAAACTGTAATTAGTTTGAAACAGGGACAAAGATTACTAGTGGGTGGCAACCACAAGGACCAAAAGTGTAATTTACTCTATTATTAATGAACATGATTATTGATACCACAACTTGTAACACCCTGTTCCATGTGTCTACATCACAATTAGGTTCAAACCAATTCGAAGTCAACCATTGGTTAAAACAAAGCAGTTAATATAATTTTCGAAAACTTAATTACAGAACCACAAACAAAGATAACAATGTGTACCAAAATATGAATACATATCATTTACATTAGTCATCAAAACCTTAACAAAAAGAATATCATAATGGATTATCTTCAGTCTTGTCATCTACATAACTCTTATCTCAAAGGCCTTGCTAAGTCATTAACTTACTGAAAACAAAAAACGTCGGTTGACTTTTGATTATTTGAAACTTGAAAACCATGTTTTCATTATTAACCGGAAAACCATCAGAAGCACCCTACATGTCCATATATATATATGTTGAATATGAACAGAGCATTCGTCATGAATGCTGTAAAAAATTTATGTTTATTATTAAAAACATATGTTACCTCTCATTGATTTCTTAGGGGGGTGTTTGGGATTGGTTATAAAAGCTGATTTTTAACTTATTTCAGTCTGGCACCGGTGATAAACTGTTTTCTGGTGTTTGGATAAGAAAAAGAAAACTGCTTATACCGGTGCCAAACCGGTAATAAGCTGTTTTTGATAAGTTAATCGTTTCTGACTTATGAAAAACTGTTTATTACCAGTTTACAATTTTAACCATGTTTTATTTAACTCCGGTTTGATACCACATAAGTTAACAAGCACTTCTACAAAAAAACATAAGTTGTTTTAAATAAACAATCCCAAACACCCCTTTAGTTAGCAAGAGAATTAAATTCTCAATGAAACTTTATTTTATTATTTTATTCTTATTTTTTAAATTATAGTAATAATCTAAAAAAAACGTGCATCCAAAAGTTTGCAAATATCCCACAAATATTTCATGTGTTTTTTTATTTTAAATAATAATATTTTTGTTAGGTCATAAAATCAATTTCTTGTTATTTAATTTTTAACACTAAAAAGATGTTTACACAATATAATCAAATATATCTCAATTTTAAGGTTTTGTTTTATTATTTATTTATATCGATATAATACGGTTTTTAGTGGTTATGAAAAAACGATAATATTTTGATTTTTAAAGAAAATATAATTTTAAATATATAATAAGAATTTGAAAAAAATATATATCGATATTAGTATCAAATTTACTATTTAAAGTTCTGGTTTTTTGTGTAATTTCTTTAATTCAATATTTTGTTTATAATTTAATTTAGATTTAATAACGAAGTAATTTATTTATCGTTTACTAATATAATTTTTATAAAGATAATAATCAAGTATTTTGTTGTAACTAATGATTATCCTAATTATATTTTAGGTTTTTTATATTCAAAATTGGATGTATATCTCGTATTGATTATGTTTATCTAAAGTTAGTTATACAAATTCAAAAATGTAGATTTAATAAGTTGTACTTATACACAATTTACTTGTGATCTTGAGTTTTAAATAATTTGCATCAATAAACAGTATTTTATGCATAAGAAATGGTTTTTAAAAGTTTTTATCAAATACCTTATAATATAGTATAAATAAAGTTGTAAATAGATTAACGATTATTTCGTTAGTTTTTCATAAAATAAATAATTATTTTTTTCCATAGTAATACTTACAGGTTCAAAACCAAACTAATGCTTGATTCATGATTATTAGAAAGAGAAAAAAAAGTTGGCCCAGTCTGGTTTTTAACTAATCATGGTCTAAAACCTAAATTCGATCAAGGTTCGACAGATTTAGCAGTCCGAATCAAATTCATTTTTCAAGTCTATCGGTTTTTTCCATGGAAGAAGTTTAGACGTTCACCAATTGGGTTCGACTAGGCCCAAATCGGTCATGGATCGTGTACGATGTTTGGTTTACAATAATTTCCTTTTTCAAGATTGGACCTTATTCAGGTGTAGGTTTGAAATCTTTAAATGAACCAAACCCGAAGGCTTGGACCAGCTCGTAACCAACATGGTCATCAGTCCGGATTCGATCCAGATTCATTCCTTTAAACTTTTAGCATCTCCAGACCCTATAAACGAAGCTAAGGCGACACCTTATAGGGTTTCTATTCATCGCTCTTGAATGGGTACAAGAACATATTTTGAGGTAATTTACTTCGGCTTTGTGCATATGTAACAGAGCAACAGGTCTAAACGTTTTAAGCCCGTTTGATATTTTCAAGTCTATAAACAACATATTTATGGTGAACAGATCTAAAAAAATTGTACGATATATAACATACATCTATTGATATACAGTTTTCGCTTAACATGCAATTGCCTTTTGTGAAATGTCAACACCAAGAAGCTTTAACCCTTTATGGTATCGAATGGCCCTCCACATACACAAATAATATCCAATTTTGTTTCTTGCTTATCTTATCCTAACACCCTTTTTCTTATATATTTGGTCAGAAACCGAAGGTTCACCAAATCCTCTTTAACGAGACACACACACGTTGAACTTCAACTTTTACCATCACTGCCTAAACATCGACATTTTGAGTGGTCAACAATGGCTAGTCGAGAACACACTATGATCACACTTGATGTTCTTCAGGAAACCGGTTTGGATAACAAAAAGAAAAGTAGTGTGTCTAATTTAATATACAAAATGTATACTGGTTTTCACACTTTTTTACACATAAGAATTCTTACAGCTTGCATACAAAATAACAAAAAGAAATCGTGTGCTATTTGCTTTTGAGAGGAAATAAATTCACATACATACATACATACATACATACATACATACATACACGCACACACACACATAAGATCTGTTTTTTTGACATTTTTCTTTTAATAAAACATGATTATCGAACGAATAATGTTTGACATCACAAAACAATTCATGATGCTTAGTTTCTTTCTATCTATTTGTTGCTTCGTCTTAATCTATGTAAAGAAAGTTCTACAGAAACTGGGTTCTTAATTCGATCTCCAAACAAGGCGATTCATGTCAGTGTAGGACGATTAAGGCTCGTAAAAGGTGTGGAAGACGTTTATATCATGTAGAGGTTGCAGAAGCTATTTTACAAACTGGGTTTATCTTCGAATTTTATAAAACGATCATATAATATCGACGTTGTATTTGATGTAAATCCAGAACATATTTTCAAAAACAGATCCTGATGTTTGATTTATAAAATAACGAAACTATTGAATCATTTTCATAGCTTTTACTACCAAATCATGTGAATGGTTCAGTTTTCAATTTTTTTTTCCTTTTGTGATTTGATTAAACGAGTTTATGCTTTCAGACGTTTTTACTCAACTAACATAACAATCTTCACACATTTATAAAGGTGACAAAGGATACATAATTCCCCAATTTATTTTTGGTTTACATTTTACAATTCTAAACTTTATATTTAATAATCAATTTAAATAGAAAATAATCTTGTAATAATGCATTTTTAAATATTGAATATTTTAAAAGTGTTTGATGAAAAGTGAAAACAAAGTCAAGATTTTATGTTTTTTAAAATTAAAATAATCAATTTTAAGAATTATAAAATTCCTAAAGAATTTTTGGGAAGAGAAATATAATATTAAAAAAGAAAATATCACTTATTTAAGAATTATAAAATATGATTTGTTTATTAAATATTTATCAGGTAAATATTTACTGGAAAAAGAAAATATCACTTATTTTATCGTGTAAAATTTTTGATCATCAAAAAAGATTGTTGGTGGACTTATTAAACCTATTAGTTGTTTACTGGGCAAAGTTTTTTCTCTCACTTACCAAGTAAGATTCTAGGTTTGTTATGTTTTTTATCAGATAAGATTATCGGTCATTGTTATGTCTCTTATCAGATAAGATTTTTGGTTTTTGTCATTGTCAATGGATAAAGTAAATAATAACTAACCCCTTGGATGATAAATAAAGTTATGTAGTTTTCCTATTTAAAAGTTGGTTTAATTAAACTTTGGTTTAATTCTAATACGTTTTTGCCTTTAATCTAAAAACATACATCTTAATGAGATTAAACATATATATACATACATATATATATATATGGAGGTTCAAACAAGAACACCTTCATTTTACGAGAACGCGAGAATACTCTTATCACATGTGATAATATACGTGAGGGGACATGGTGATGTGCGAACGATGTGTCCTGCAACTTAGATCATGACAAATGTCGTTTACGTCCATGATTTAGTATCACATATGATGGTCTTGATAGATTATAATATCACATCAATAACACCATTATCACATGTGATAATGCATGTGAAGGGACTTAGTAAGTGGTGTAAGGGTGATTTGGCTCACAATGTAAATCGCGTCAAAAAGACATTTGCGTCTCTGATTTAACATCACATAAGTATCATATGTAATCGAATAATTGTATCACATGTGATCGTTTATGATAAAAAAAAGTGTCTCATGTTCTCGTAAAATGAAGTTGTTTTTATTTGAACCATTTTCTATATATATCTCCTTAATTAAAATTAAAATCATATTCTTAAAGCTTAATTATGGGTATAATAATTTACCACTTTTTAAAGTTGATCGACAAATATAATAGCATAATTTCAAAAAGATGATGTCATAAAAATAGTTACGTTCTAAGATTTTTAAAGTAAATTATGACTTTTGTCCCTGTACTTTGGTGTTTATAACAATTTTCATCCTTTTGGTTTAAAAACTGTTTTTTTCATCCATATAATTTGCATTTTCTTTCAATTTTTGTCTCTTAGAAACTTTGTCAAGAAATTCAGTTAAATGAAGGGTATTATTGTCTTTTTTTCCTATTTTTTGTTTTTTCTACATTTTTTTTATTAAATAATTTTTATATTATTATATTATCATATTTCCAATATATGTATTGGTTTCCATAAACTTGTGAGCTTCTCCTACTTCTGGCACAACAGGTTTCACTTTTCCTTCTGTAATATCAGCACCTGCAACAATCAAAGTCAATCAAAGATTTGGAATAATCCGAGATGAAATGAATCAAAATATTCGACAAAAACTTTTCGGACATGTTGGAATGAAAAATAAACGTAAGTTGCAAATTAAAAGCATGTTCGGGTTTTGGGGGTTTGATGATTTGGGGAGTTGGACGGTCCTTATTTTTTAAATGAGTACTGAGATTTGTAGGGAGAGGGAACAGTAGGTAAAGGATATAATATAATAATATATAATATAAAAATTATTTAATAAAAAAATGTAGAAAATGATAAGAAAAAAGATGAATACCCTTCATTTAACTGACATTTTTAATGTAGTTAGTATGAGGGACAAAAAACGAAGGAAAAATGCAAACTACAAGGACCAAAAATAAAGTTTTAAAACCACATAGACGAAAAACGTTATAAACACCAAACCACGAGGATGAAAATCATAATTTACTCAAAAAACTTACGTAGGTTTTTGGCGAAATAGTCGAGGTTGGGTTCCGGTGAGAAGAGAAGTTACATTGAGAGTATAAGAAAAGATCTCCACCTTTAGATAATTTTAATTGAATGTCAATACTAATGAAGTGCACCGAGATGCACTGGATCAATTCAAGTACGTTACTTTTTCAACCGGTTACCCATGTACTTAAATGTTTGGAACTTTACATGTTAAGTACTAAAACAAAAGTTTTGAAAATACGTTACCCAAAATAGAAGTTTTAAAACCACATAGACGAAAAACGTTATGTTGAGTAAAATGCATGAAAAATGTAACGTACTTAAATATTTAAAACGGTGATGATAGGAGCGATTTGTCTTCTTGTGAAGGTTTGATGTTTTTATGTATTTATAATAAATTGCTATAAAGTTTTAGGGGCCGGTTACCAAGTGCTTACCGGTAAAATTTAACACTATTATTTACTCATCGGAAAATTTTAGTCCACCAAAACGATATTATATGCAACAATTTATCCGGTAAGCGCTTACCATGGTAAGAGTCGTCGCCCTCACTTACCGGATAAAACTCATGGTCCTTGTCTCGCTCTTACTGGGTAAGATATTTGGTTCTTGTCATATTCATCCGGTTAGGTAATATAACTTGATAAGTGTTTACTCAAATAAGTGTTTGATAAACGACCCCTTAATATTATTTTAATATCTTGTAAAAACAGACTGGTTTAACGTAAATGTAGCCATATATATATATGTGATATAATATGTGGCTGAATGGAAACATAAAAAGATTGGAGAGGAAGCAATAGATATATGCACATGTGCATGGGTTATGTGTTGCATGGGCATTGCTCCAAACCAAACCATGTGTACACGTAAAAAAGTAGCAAATGTCGGCGAAAAGACAATCGATTTGGTCAATGTTTTTTCAATCAAAATTAAATCAAACATAACTTAATATTTATTTTTTATGTTGTAAATAGTAGTAACATGTATCAGTATATATACACAGATTTATTCTATTTTTATGAGATCCGTAAGATCAATTTTTTATATTTGAAATTTTACAGTAGAATGCTGTGAAGTTAACCTTTATAGTGTTTCTGCTGTAAATGTTCAACTTTTTTTTTATCTTCACAGCGTTTTGCTGTGAAGTTTCAAATGTAAAAAAAAATGGTCTCACGAAAATAGACTGTTCTCACATGAATCCGACCGTATATGCTTGCGCACGCGCACACACATATATATAATTACAGTATTTTTGTTTATCATATACATACGATATAACCAACATAAATCTTTATTAAAATATATAATTAAAAATATAAAAATAAATTCTTATTTATTTTACAGAAAATAAAAGCACACTCTGACGTATTGGCCTCCCTTATCCGCTTCATAAAACACTATCGATTCCACTTTTGTAAGGCCAAATTACCTCTTTCCATTTATGAGTCAAATATGTTACGCTATCTTAACGATGCATCTTTTTCCCCCTTTTTCAAGTCGACCATATAAAATGAATATAATTATATCAAGATCAGACGACAGATTAGAATTTATAAAAAGTTTAAATTAACAGATAAATGGATAACAGTTTAATAGTATCACAACTAGTTTAATTAACATATACATTCATGTTTTAATTTATGTTATTAAACGTTGATGATATGTTACATTACAAATTAATTAGTGATTTAATTTCGTTACAATCTGATTTTGAATTAAAAAAAATTGTATATACATAAAGAAAGTTGGGATGTTAAAATACAGTCTAAGGTGGAGGTTCAAACGAAAATACCATCATTTTACGAAAAACGCAAAAATGCCCATTTCGTATGTAATAATACACGTTAAGGGATCTGGTGATGTATAGATGACTTGGCGAGCGTCTTATAAGTCGCGTTAAAGGTCGGCCATGTTTGTAATATATTTAGTACCACACATAACCTATTACCTATTTGATGTGACATGTTACGCTCTCCATTATCTCCAAGTTCGTAACAGAAAACAAGTTTTTTTTCTAACCATAAGAATGGTGTTTGATTGGTTTGAGTTTGGGCTCCAAAAATCAAAAGCGTCTGGAGGTCTCAGGTTCAAATCCAAGGAGAAATAAAAATCCTCTTATGACGACGGAGATTCAAATTAATGCGATGACTCTGGGCTTCCCACAAATAGGGGCGTAAATGATACGAGTCGAGTTCGAGTATTACTATACTCGACTCGAACTCGAAACCTAATTTCCAAGCTCAAACTCGACTTGAAAACTCACTAATAGTAAAAATCAAAGTTCGACTCGAACTTGATAACTATCTCTAAAGCTCGAACTTGAGCTCGAAACAAGCTCATCCAGTGAAATTTATGAAATTTTAGGGTCTTTTTTTTATGAATTTTAAATTTTAAAGGTGTTTTCTTAGTTTTTATAAAACTAAAGAGATTAACTTCAAACTTTATTATCAAAAAGATAAAGTTAAAAATTTCATTCATCTATCTCTGTTTATAACGTCTTTTCTCTTTTCCTTTACTATTTTTCTTCTAATTTGGGATAATTTCACTAACTTTTTTTATAATTTTTCTGTCTTTTTTAGTTATGATTTTAATAAATAAAAAAATAATTGATTAATTTTTATAATTAAAAAATGCATAATTTTGTTTAATATCTAAAAATATAAGACATTTTTATTATTTATATTTTACAAATTTTATCATAAAAATTGATTATATTTCGAAACTAATTATATATAAAATAATCGAGCATCTCACGAGCTTTTCGAGTCGAGTATTGAGTAACTTGACTCTACTCGTTAATATATCGAGTCGAGCTCGAGTTTAAGCCCAGCCTATTCAAGTCGAGTGTTGATCGAGTTGATATCAAATAGCTCGCAAGTTATCTCGTATTATTTACATCCCTACCTACAAAACAGATAGTCGTTCTAAAATTAATAGGTTTGCAATAGCGGGATATGTTAATAAAAAAACAAGTTTTGAACTTAACTCTTCTCCACGTATTTAACAAACAATTAAAAAAATGTTAAATTATTATTTATTTATTTTTATCAAATAAGTAATTTTAATTTTGAATCAATAAATAATTAATATAATATAGTTAAATATTATAATTAGATTATGCGATAACTTTTAGATGAAGAAAGATGGACGGGGGTAAAATGGTCAAAGTGAGTAAAAAAGAGGACTTGTCTTTTAGGACGAGTATTTCAGAGGGAAGAGAGCCCCCAACCTCATATTCAAGAAAGCTTCTCTTATTACCCTTCGATCTCTAACAAGCAAAGTAAAGAATTCCCACTATATCTATATCTATATATATACATACACACACCATCTTCATCTTCCCTCCTCTCTCTCTCTCTCTCTCTACATCTCTCTTTCTCTCTCTAAACATACCATGGATCATCAACTTTGCTTTAGAACAGTTTTCATGGCGCAATGTCTTCTGGGAATCATCATTCTATCTTTATCTGGTTGGTTTAGTTTACATCTTTCTTTTTGGTTCATTTGAATCCATGGTGTTCTTGATTTGCAGGTTTCTTTACGTTGTTTGTGTGTTTTTTAATTAGGGTTTACGAAAGTTGAATCACTTGGGATAAACTACGGTCAAGTTGGCAACAATCTGCCACCGCCGGAGAAAGTTCTTCAGCTTTTGAAATCATTACGAATCACGAAAACCAGAATCTACGATACGAATCCGGAAATCTTGAACGCATTTGCAGGTTCCGGGGTTGAATTGATCGTAACGGTCGAAAACGCGATGCTTGGGACGTTAATGGATCCACAACAAGCGTTGCAATGGGTGAGTACGCATATAAAACCGTATTTTCCGGCGACTAGGATAACTGGAATCGCCGTCGGAAATGAGGTGTTCACCGGAGACGATATGACATTGGTGTCTAATCTGGTTCCAGCCATGGTTAGCCTTCAACGAGCTTTGACTCAATTAGGGATGCAACAGTATATTCAAGTGTCGACACCGTCGTCGCTGGCGGTTCTTTCGAATTCGTACCCACCGTCTGCCGGAACTTTTACGCCGGAGCTCACTACGATAATGACGCAACTTTTACAGTTTCTTTCGACCACGAAAGCTCCGTTTTGGATCAATGCGTACCCGTATTTCGCTTATAAAGATAGCCCGAGTAAGATATCGTTGGATTACGCCCTTTTCAACCCGAATACCGGCATGATCGATCCTCACACGAATATGCATTACGACAACATGTTATACGCTCAAGTTGACGCGGCTATATTCGCCATGGCACGGCTAGGGTTCGGTGGGATCGAGGTTAGGGTTTCGGAAACGGGTTGGCCGTCAAAGGGTGACACGGATGAGGTTGGTGCAACCCCTCAAAATGCAGCTATTTACAACCGGAATCTGTTGCGAAGGCAATTGAGCGGCGAAGGGACGCCATTGAGGCCGAAAATGAGGCTCGAGATTTACTTGTTTGCTTTGTTTAACGAAGACATGAAGCCTGGTCCCACATCGGAAAGGAACTACGGGTTGTATCAGCCCGATGGAACCATGGCTTACAATGTCGGGTTGTCGGCTTTATCAACAAACACGAACCCGTCAACGTCGACATCGACTTCGGCATCGACGTCGACATCTTCGTCTTCGATCTCTCTCACTTCCATGGCTACCAAGGTAATAATTACTTAGATTTCCATGCCAATGTTCTTTCATCTAATTTATATTAAAGTTACTAGTAACTATTTATAACGTACATGATATGCAAAGGTGGTAAAATGAAATTACATATATACCCTCATTAAATTTCGTATTAATAGCTATTAGGTTTAAATACTCAGTTAAACCATTTCTTAATAATGTTAGTTAACGACGTTTACGTGTAAGATTTGTGTTCAAAACTCGCTTGTTTAACTGCTTTATACATGAATCTTGTATTTTATGGGTTTTAAGAAAACCAAAATTTGATAAAAACAAAAATGTCGTTATCTGTCTATTCATGTTACCGTTAATTCATCAGACATATCAAAAACAAGATTTGTTAATGCTACTCCAGATTACATAAATACTGTCCTCAAAACATCGAAATAAAAATGTTTAATCAAACACCCGATTTCCCTTAGGCTGTAGTTGTAACGTCACAATATCATAATACAAGTTTACGAAAAATAAAACAGTTAAAGAACTAGTATGCTATATTTTCTCTATTTTCTTTTAAATTTGGAGATTTATCTGTTATCTCTCATCTTTCTCGCTATTTTAAAGGAGAGTTTATATTGAATTAAATTTTTCTCGTATCTCTAAAATTTTTAAAATAACATAACTATAGAAGCGGTTAAATAAATAAAAAATCATGTCAAAGACCTTCCAGCCTAGTGGTAAAGGCTTGGGCATGGCATAGTCATGAACCCGAGTTCGAGTCCTGGGAGGGGAGTGTTTGCGACATTTAAGTGGGGCCATGTTTAGCCTTCAAATTTGCCGGGGATTAGTCGGCCTTTGGCCCGGACACCCTTACAAAAAAAAAAATCATACTTAGAAGTTGTTTGTTTACCTTTTAATAATTCCACTGAGAGACAGCCTCTGAATCGTTAAGAGATGAATCTTGTTTGACAAAAAAGAAGTTGATCTCTTAATGGTTCTAAAACCCTGTGAATGATTTTGTATTATGGATCTTCCTTAACCATTAAGCACCCTAATTTTATCGTAAACAATTACAAAACAATTATATTTTATTTTATATTATATCATAAAAACTTCTTAATTATTCAGACCACTTAATTATTATACACCAAACCATTCAATAACTACTAAACAATCGGTCAAATCTTTGAAACACCCTTTTTTTAATCACACCGACTAAAATTAATATTATTTAAGAAAATATAATGATTATTAGGTGACAATAAAGTATTATTATTTAAATTTTTATTTAAATATTTTTGTCCTCGATTTGTACCAAAAAATGCAACAAATTTTGTTTTAAAATCATTAAAAATATATTTATTTATTTTGTGTATTTAGATTTATTATTTATTTTAAAGATATACTTCATACTTTGTATTTTTTTTTTTTTTGTGCTAAATAGAATCTAATCTGCATGTGAGCGCATATGTGCACCAACTATACAAATTATACATTCGACACCTCGTTTTATAATTAAATATTACCAGATATCAATACGTCAACATTTTCAAATTAAATAAACTGTTATTTTATTATTAACTTGTCATCGATTGTTACAGATGGAACGAATGGGTTTAGCGTGTTGGATCAGTGTTTGCTTGGCAGTTATAGGGACGTTGCCATTTTAAGCAGATCCAAAAGCATACTGTACATGTACATATACCAGACATTGATCAGCTCGGTGCTCTTTGAAGCTTCGAGAACCAAGATCATCTGTGTTGTTATTTAACTCCAGATATATCTGAAGATGGTCTTCAATCATTTTCATACACGCTAATTGTTTTTTTTCGCGACGAGGATCCCGTGGAGTCGGAGAAATTAATTGATTGGTAGTTGAGGAAATTGTTATCAATGTATGTATTTATTATTTATTTTAGTTTTTTATTTTATTTTCTAATTAAATATATTTAATGAAAGAAATATTAGAAAGATATGGAGAAGATTATTGTGATTGGGTACAGAGAAAAGTGTCTACTTTTTGTACGTGGAATCCATGACTACTGTTTTCATATAAAATTCCAAGAATCACTAAGATTCATGTCGACGAAAAGGTTTGTTGTATCTTTATTTTGGTATTTAAGATGTAAAGTTTTGAACATTTAAGTAGCTGGGTTGTTCAACCCAATTTCATCTCATCACTCGTCATATCAGCATGGTAACCGGTTAATGTTTCAACCGGTTATCTGGGTACTTAAATATTTACAATTTTATATCTTAGGTACCAAAATGAAAGTTTGGAAAGTACGTTATTCAAAATAAGAATCAAGTTAAAGTACATTATTTGTCATGCAATTTGTCATTTTTTTATACTGTGAGAGAGTTTATGTGAAATATATGATATATATTTAAAAAGTTTCAAACAATGACTTAAATTCTAGCCTTATATAAAACAAATCCATGTGAAACGATTAATACGTTAATACTGGTTCTCACGATTCTCACATTTTTTGTGTTTCTTACGTGATTAACCCCTTGTGTATATATAGACAAATAATCGTTTACAAACCCAGTAAATCGTACAAACTTACAAACCAATTTTCATGTCTTGTTTCATATTGTGAAAATGCAGTGTTTATACATCGTTGTTTAATATGTGAAACGTTCATGATTGTTTTATATATAGAAAACAAACGTTTATGGCGTTTCACATATCAAAAAATACTGTATAAACACTGCATATATGAAATAACGCATGAAAAGTGGTGTCTTGGTTTATAAAAATTATTAGGTTTGTAAAAGAACGAGACTCTACGTATGTATGCATTGTTTATTTTATGATTAAAAACGACTCTGATTCCTTTTTACGACCATAAATCACTGAGGTTGTTCTTGCTTTAACTTTTACTACTATAAATTTATATATATAGGATACAAAGTGTACCAGAGATAATATTGTATAACAGAAAGAAGAAAAGCAGAAAAGCGCATTCGGTTTTTGTTATCATACCTGTTAAAATTGTTATCTGATCTTTGACCGATTAAAGTTTATGGAATCTGTATTCATCATAAACGCATATCAGAACAACACAAAACAAAACTATTTCTTATGGAAAACGAACATATTTTGCAACGGAAAATTTGATAAACGAAATAAAACCCGAGACATGTCTGGTCTATAAAACGATAGCGGAAAAAAGGTGATGTTTTTGAGAGCTTTATTCCCTCCCACGCATATAACCGTCAGCATTCATCATTCACTGCCATCCTTTTCTTAAAGCACCTTTTGAGGTTTCAATGCATGTTTTTTTTGTCATAAAGAATCCATCCGCATCGGATCGAAATACTCGATATTCGTTACGGTAAAATCGACAGATATACGGTATTTATAAAATATGGGAATCTTCATTTTAAAAACCCATAAAATGTGATAACTTTGAGAACAGGTGTATCGTGTGCTATTTCACATGATTATTCTCATCTACAGCTTGTATTTAGTGTATTGATTAACATATATTTGTTTCATAATGTGAATATTTTTTTGAAAAATATAAATAAAAGGTTTTACATTGTGAACCGAATATATATAAACAAATACATTGTTAAACAAATGTATGTTATTCAATATATTAAATTCTAGCCTTAGATGGAAAAATCATGTGAAATAATATCTTACGATAATCGTTTTCACATTATTACAAGAAAATATATTTTCTTTCTAAAAGCTCGTGTTTTAAGAAAATATATCAAACAATGTATTTTATAAAACGAAAGAATATATATATATAGTTGGGTTCATTTAAGATCAACCTGTTTGTTGTGAAGGTAAAAAAAAATTTGAATCTTCACAGCAAAAACATTGTGAATGTTACATTCATAGTGTTTTGTTGTGAAGTTTCAAGTGTAAAAAAAAATGGTCTCATGGGTTTCACAAAAACAGGTTGGTCTCACGTAATCCCAAATCTATATGTGTATGTGTTTTTTGAAAACAAAACATTAAAACGTTTGAAATTTGAATGGTGAGGGAGTATGTGAACATCAACATCAAGTAAAGATGTACTAGAAACACTTGTATTCACTACAATTCGATATGTATCGAAAAAGGAATCACATCTGTAAACATATCAGATTCACTTCTCAAATTGTTTTAAAATTTATCTGTTTAATCCATTATCTAACACGTACATTCTACTATTAAATACTAACTTTAAAACCAGAAAATGAACAAAACCATTTGTCCAACCATTTTGCCGAAAATATATTTGGATAAATGAGTTAGTTGCGAATTAAATAGGCGAATATAAATTAGTGAATGAAAATGATCAATATTGTACTGTAAAAAAAGATAAAAATCATAGGTCGTAAATTTGTACATAAATATACATTATCGATAGAATGTGAAACATGAATTAACTAAATTTAGAAGAACGAAAATATCATGCGTCTTAATTTAATTAGCGGGACAAGGATGAAACGTGAGAATTTGAGAAAAAAAAAAGATTTTTATTCTATCTATTATGAAGATCAAGATGCATACATATATATATATATATATATACACACACATATATACATATACATATATATATATATAGCGAAAGGTTCATTTGAAAAGTGATAATTATTTGAGAAGTAAGAAATGATCATAGTCCTGCATCTGGCGACTTTGACTATGAAACATCAGATAATTCTTTGCATGAGTATACGGAAGATAGAAAAGTAGTTTCGTAACTTTTACAAATAGGCAACATGTTCATATGTGAATAATACGAGTTCATGTCTGATGTTAATCAGTTAATTAGTTCAGATGTGAATCACAATGGTGCATATGTGAATCAGTTAATTGGTTCATATGTGAATCAGTTAAAATATTATACGAGTTCAAATATGAATATATATAGTTCATATGTGCATCATACGGGTTCACATATGAATCCATTTGCCATCTATTTGTAAAAAAAAATGAAACTACCCCCTCTATTTTTCACTTAGTCGCAATTTCTAGACTAATCTGATCTTGACCATATGAATGCTAGAATCACTTATTTACTTCTCAAATATTTATCATTTCTCAAAATAACCTATGGCTATATATAGAGGGGGAAGACGATAATCAAATGAAAACTACAAAAAATTACAAATATGTGAGAACCAATATAAATATACGTTTACATGATTTTTTTCCATCAAATACTAGGATTTAAGATATTATTTCACATATATTTGTTTTATTAATCTGATAGTATTAGAAAAGTAAAAAAAAATCATAGTATTAGTCTAAATAAATCTCAATTATAAAATGAGATAATTTTTTCACAAGATGACAACAATATTTTAAATCCTAGTATTTAATGGAAAAAATCATGTGAAAAATATTTTAAATCGTTCTCACGTTTTTATAATTTTTTTTATGGTTCTCATTTGATTTACCTTATATACAGGAATTGGTTCAAAGGAAAACACCACTAATATACGAGAATGTGAGAACACCTTCTGAACAACCATAAAAATATATATATCAATATTAATGTTAAATTAAAAAAGAACAGCTCGTTCTTTGGTTATAATTTATTTGACTCTAATTTTTATCATATTTTGATTAAAATATTAGGGATGCGGCTTTTGTTATAGTAAAAAAAAAAGTGGTTGTAACGATTTTTTTAGTCACATAACCAAATAATCACATTTTATAATCCAGATTTATTCTCATACTTTTATGAATTCAAAGCATCTTGGTTTAAACCTTCATCCCTAAGAATAAACGACCCACCAAATAATACGTCATGGGTCTTTCGGGATTCTCTTCAAATGTCACCGGTTCGAGTCTTGCAAAATCATTCAGGATTTTCCTGACTGTTCTTTATATCTTGTAAGATTAATCAAGATGTACACAAACTGACCCGAACACCCATAGTTGAAAAAGCTATAGACCAAATAGGTAGCTTTTGGCCGTTTGGTTACTTTTGTATGACATATAACAACATGCCATTGCCGTAAATAGACCCAAAAGCGGACCCCATGACCATGTGCACACATGCATGCACTTCCATTTACTATCAATTTTAGTCCTTGTATTTAATTAACTACTTTGTTACTTTCTAAAAGATGTATGATTCTAAAACATTATAAATTCGATATAAATAAATCAAAAAAGTATTTTTGGGATTTTCGAAAAAGACTCTGAGAAGTATATTTTGAAGGGCTGAAAATCGTTACTGTATGTGCGTTGATGAAATCAGCAGGCGTAAGATTTGAAGTTGTATCGAATGTATGATTGTTGTAGGAAAATCTTAAATGGTTTCGTGTTGTTTGAAGCTTTCTGTAAAATGGAAACCGTTAAGGTTTATAGAGATCGTAAGGAAATACAGCGTTTGAGAGTTTTGGTCAGTAGAGAGATGAAATGTTTAAAAACCGAGTTTTGATTAGGTCAGTTGAGCATTTAATTTGGACAATTAGAAGATCCAATTCTTGGGAGAGCTGGAGAAGCGTCTACGAGTAAAGCATTGTAGAATTCGTTGATTTTGAAGCCTTCTTTCAGATAAGTCATTTACAAAAAAAAAAGTCATAATAAGTCAACGTCAAGTGCAGGAATTGCTGTAGAAGGGGGGAGGGTTGTCCCTATTGAGCTGTAGCACTTGTTTATTATAGAAATGAACATAGGCTAACAGAGAAAAACAACTTTCGTACCAAT